AAGGTCATTACAGAGAAGTGAAAAGTTAAAAATGTCGCAGACTCCACGCACTTTTAAAATGAAAGCTCCCGTGTGTCAGGAGATTGAGCTTACACTACACCTCAGTTATTTCCTCTGATTCAGTTGATCTTGTTCATGCAATGTCTTGTTTCAGTCGCATAAGAAGCATGTTGTAGCAGGGAATCTGCGAAATGGAACTGTTGAACGACTCAATGGAGTTGTTCATCTGGAGAAAAAGAAAGGCCTTGTCGAGAATAAGTCCAACAGCTTATACATCTCCACGAAAGATATGGAGCTTTCAGAAAGGCATGCGGGTGTAAGAATTTACCGCAAAGATGAACCTCTGAGATTTGAAGAGCTTAGAAAGCAAGATCTGGCAGCCAGAAACATCAAACCTGAATATGTACCTTTGGATGAATCAGCAGCCAAAGCAAAGGTGAAAGAAGCTTCTAAATTAACCCCTCGTGTCTAAGTATTAATTTTTTGACTAGTGCTTTTGTGGATTACTTGGATCGTTTGAGGTAATAGCGCCAATTTCGTATTTTAGGACAAGGCGAGAGAAAAGACTAGCAGAATGCAATGACTACTTGACCGCTTTCGACATTCCAGTCTTTTTTTTTCTCTCAGAAGTTTAAGCTGCCGTAAATGATTAACCACCAACAGCTCAAAGATTTTCACTATTCCTCCACTTGTTATTCTTGTGAAAAAGCGAATGGCTCACTTATTCCCTCTTTTATAATCGATCCCATGCATTGTATTCCTGCAGCATGACCAAGATTCTAGGTTGCATAAGGAACATGCTCTCGATGGTGTTGTTCATCTGGAGGGAAAGAAGGGCTTTTCCGAGGATGAGTTCAACGGACGGCGGATCGTCTCGGCAAAACAGATGGAGCATCTGAAAAAGGCTGTGAATGCAGAAATTTATGGCAAACACGAAGAACCAAGGTTAGAAAGGTCAAGAATCCGGAATTTTCAGCCAGAGAGATCAAACCAGAAGGTCATTCTTTGGTTGAATCAACAGCCAGATCAAAGGTAAAACCCTCGAGTACTTTTAGAGTCTCGAATTGATTAATTGATCCAATATGCTCATTGTTCACAACGATTGAAATGGTCAAACAGGAGAAAGCAACGAGCACAGTGAGGAGACTGAACCAGCCAGAGAGCAGTCAATTTCGGCAATAAAATTGGCTGGATCAACAACCAACAGCACGGAGATTTTCGCAATTCTCTCAATCGTTAATGTCACTAACATGCTTGTATTTCTGATTTTCAGTGCTATTTCTCTGAATATGAGGTTATGATGCAAGGGTCCAGTTTAATTTGTGTATGTAGTACCACTTGTAGCTTGTCTTCATTTGGATAGCCATGCCTTGTACTTCATTGTCATCTGTAATGGAATGGAAACTCTTGCTAAAAGCTCTCACCCGTTTCGCAAGTGAAAAACTGAACTGAGACGATTCTTCTGACAGTGTTCTCCATCCTGTACACCTCCGTCATTGCATTTGCATTTGAAGCTTTATCATTTGCAAGTGGAAATGTGCTGAAGCATTTTTACCTTATTCTTCATTTATGATTGAGGATGAATTCGGCATCTCAGCTATGCGCACCAATTGCAGATCAACCGCATTTATTAAGTCCCTGCACAAGCTGAAGCGCTAACACTTCTTCTTGTTGCATCTATGCTAAGATTGTTTTAGCCCTCCTGATTGGCGATGTTAGTAAACTGTCGCGTCGTTCAGTAAAATTAGTGAAGCGGAAATGAAATTTTGTTAGGTTGAGGCATGTGCCAGGAAGAGAATTAGCAATTCGAACGCACACGGTTTAATAGGAAATTCTTGTCTCGGCCCATTCCCCACCATGGATCAGATGAATGTCAGCCACCGAAGTGGTGGGTCCACGAGGACCCATATCCATGGAACGGTTATAGTTGCGTGTTCAATGATCGAACCAGATCCGTCGAATGTTAGGTCGACAACGTGCTGTAAGAGCTAGTAAACGTTGGGATGAGCAGCAAGCTTCGATATCTCATCCTGGGGATACTTCTCGAGAGGGGGCCTAAGGTCCAATCCCTAATCTAGAGAAGTTATGGGACAACTAGCTATATTAAATATCTTATTCCTCTCATCACTTGCACCTTAATATCAAAGATCTAAACTTGAGATCAATCACGGTTAGAATGCATGTGTGGATTGTGTTAGAGAAGTCCCATATCAGAAAAGTCTCACATCAGAGAAATGATGTGATGTGAAGCTTATATCCTAATTGGTTTATGACAGATTGGCTTAAGCTTTTTAGGGAAGGTGTGTTGACGGGTTCGGACTTGAGCTCCCTCTTGATGTTCTCCCTGGGTGCAGGTATCGACCTTTTGCTCCGTGCCTCGACAAATGATATGAGAGTATATGGTTAATTGGGTCCCGCTCCCAACAAATAAGCACCGTGAGAGTACAATATTTGTGAGTGACGTCGTGCTTGGCAGTGGATTGGATTGAAAATAGTCCGATTCATATTGACCCATTTAACCCATCTTGACCCATATTTATGTGGTGCAAATCTAACGATTCAAACCCGACTCAACCCCACCCGTATTGCTAAAAGACTTTAATATTAAATCCAATTTAGAAAAACTTGTTTTTAGTAAGTTTTTAAAAATATATATTGATAAAATACAGTGGATAATTTTTATAATATAAAAAAATCTATTTTTTTCTTTTTTTTCTTTTTCTTTCTTTCTTTTCCTTTTTTCTTATACGTCCGGCGACCGACAACCGGCACTCCTTTTAATAATTTTTATTTTTATTTTTAAAAAAATCATTTAATTATTTTTATTTTCTTTTTTCTTTTCTTCTTTTCTTTTTCCTTCTTCATCGACTGGCCATAGGCATTGGACGAGCTCGCTAGAGGTCGGCGAAGCTCGAGCTCATCCGAAGTCGACGAGGCCTCAGCCTTGCCCGATCGGCAAGCTTGAGCTCACCCAAGGCTAGCGAGCTCGAGGCTCACCAGATTTGCGAGGCTCGAGGCAGGCTTGAGGCCAGCAAGCTCATCCTACGCTTATAGCTGGCCACCGGCTAAGGAAGAAGAAAAAGAAAAAATAAGAAAAGAAAAAATTATTTAAAAAATCAAAAAATTAAAAGAATTAAAAATGACATGTTTATGATTCACATAAGCTTCTTTTTAAAACTAAAGTCAACTCATTTAAGCTTATCTTTAAAACTAAAGCCAACCCATTTATGACTCATTTAAGATCCATCAAGTTAATAAGTAAACTATTTATGACCCACTTAAGCTTTTGTTCAAAACTAAATCCAACCCATTTATGACCCATAAAATTAAATATGAGTTAAAATATGGATTCTTAACCCATTTTGCCACTTCTAACGGTAGGTCTTTCTTTGTGAATTACATCCATGAAGTTGATGTGTTGAAGCCGATTAAATCATGTGTTAAAATATGTGTAATCATTCTTGAGCTTAAGAGATTATTTCACAAGGAATAGGGGGTTAAACACCGAGTGGGTTATTGGATGTGATTGGAGCTAGGAAACACCAAGAGTGTTTGAGTGATTTGAGTACGATTGTAATCTCCGTTGTATCGCTTGATTTCCTCGTTGACGTAGGTCACTACTACCAGATCACGTGAATCTGGTGTCCAATTTATTTTTTTATTTTGTTTATTTTATTATCCGATCTCTTGCTTCCGCAACAATTACCTTAATAATGGGTCACATCCTTTTACTTAAGACATCAAATACCAAATAGATGGAAAACATGAATTCCAAAAAGATGGCTATACATTCTTACATGTGGAATTTGTAGAATTGCCATCATTAAATCGAAAATAAAGTTCGAGGGTGATATTAGGCATTAATAGAAAGATCAAGCCCGTCATGTCATTTCCCCAAATTTCAAACCTTTCGTAGAAGTTATATCTTTTGAAGAATATATGGTGCTTTAGAATCGTACCAACGCAAATCTTTTTTTGCCCTTTAGCTATCACCGTTACCCAGTGTACACATGTCATAAGAAGTACTAAAGTCTAGTTGACTGGAACCCACTCGCAACTCCTTATCATCATTGGCATGTTGCATGAGATTCTAGAGTATTCTTCACAGCGAAACACTTCCAAGTTTCAACTTCACATCCTGATGTGGTTATTCACTACTATAGGAGTTGATATACAAAGTATGTAGCTGGTGATATGCCATGTGTCTTGCAAAGCATTCTCGTACCTGCATATTCCAATAATAAGTGAGCCATATTTAATCATTTAATATAAGTTGTCCCTCTTTCTTTTTGTTATAATTGTTGACACCTAAATTTTTACTAATAAATTTTTACAATTTACTGGTTTGGTCCATTCTTTAGACATTTGATCTAGGGACTATGACATTTTAGATCTCAAGCTCAACTTCAAAGAATGACGAGTGACTAAATCCACGTTAGACCCATAATCCAATTTTATTAATATTCGTTGAAGGGTTAATATTACTAAATATCTCAAATTGATATATCCATGCCACAATTACACAAAACTAATTTTCATTTCACAAAATATACCAAACTGATACACTCGTGCCACATTTATCTTAAATTAATTTTTTTTGTCACAAAAATTTCAAACCAAAATACTCATGCCACAATTACTCCAAACAAATTTTCATATTACAGAAAATCTCAAATCACCAAAATTAGGGATTTTCCAATAGAAGATTTTGGTGATTTAGGATTTTTTGTGATGAAAATTATTTGGGGGTAAGTTTGGCACAGATGTACCAGTTTGAGATTTTTTGTAAAATAAAATTAGTTTGAGAGGGATGTGGGATGAATGTAATAATTTGAGTTTTTTTTTTTTGTGGTATTACCCATTTTTCAGAATTGTACCCACAAAGTTATTACAGGTGGTGGAGGAATCCCGGGCGTCTGTCGTCAGCAAAAGCGTGTCTTGAGCTTGAAGGGGGATCCACTGAACAGTACAATGCCTTCTGAGACAAGGGTGAAGAAAAGTGGTTGCTTTTGTGCTATAAAGTCGACCCACTTGAATGGAATTTGGAGTCACACTCTCAAGTCCCAAGCAAAGCAGAGCAAACAGTAAACTGCGTTTCCTCTGTTTTTTTCCCCTGCCCTTGTAAGTTGTCTACCCTCATCTTCTCTTGTTCTATGCCAGGTTGAGGTTGAGACTGACAGGCATCATCAAATTGAATGGCGACATGGCCGGTGGGACTCAGATTTCGACCAACCGAGGACGAACTCGTCGATCATCACCTTAGAGGGAAGCTCAAGGGAAAAATAGAACCATGTTGCCTCATCCCAGAGCTATACATCTACAAGTGTGAGCCGCCAGATTTGTTCAATTCATACAATAGTAAGAGCATAGCGTGGTGCTAGTCCTTTGAGTCTTCTCTATTTTTCCATTTTCCCATGTTTTTGTGCTATTTACTTGTTGCCTGAGAGATTGTACTCGATGAATTCATTAACTGTTCTTTGTTTGTAGAAAAATCGGCAATACCATCAGATGGACGGGAGTGCTTCTTCTTCAGTCCTTGCGGGGACAATATTCCGAATAATCGTCGTTCTAATAATAGGATGACAGAATTTGGATATTGGAAAGATACATGTAAGAAACGCGTCATACGATCCCTGGACACTGGCAAGCAGATAGGGATCAGGAAGAATTTGGTTTTCTATGAAGGTCGACAACCAAAAGGCCGCAAGACCGATGTGGTCATGCATGAATATCACCTAAACTCAAGTGTCTCTGACAGTAAAATCTCTGGCCCGGTACTCGATTTTTCCTCTTCTAATCCCTCTAATTGAGCATCTTTAAGGTGTTTACCAGTGCAGGTAAGGTTGAATATGGTTTAGAATATCTAGAATAGCTTAACTTTAATCGGCGATCCGCCATCCATCCTATGCATAGAATTTTTCATGTGTATATGGTTATGATGGTCTCTGTTTGTAGAACTCTGATCCGCATCCTTTCATCTTTGCAGATGGCCTTTGTTCTCTGTCACATATTCGACAGGAAACGTAAGAAAGCGAGGTCAGCAAAAGTGAGTACTTCGGATAGTCTAAGCACCGTTAGTACTTCTCAAGTCTCTGGAAATGGACTAGCCCACGAAAGTAGTGCACAGGTAACCAAAAGTTGCTGTGGTTGACATAAAGAATATGATCTACCGATATGTTTAGCTAACCTAAAGCTTTTAAATGTTCTTTTCCCCCCACTTTTATCCCTCCAGGCATCTGAGGAAGTTACAATCGAAACCGAAAATGAGAATGAGATATCGATTTCCAGTATGCCAGACTGTAATGTTCCTGTTATTCCTCAGCAGGCGCAGATGCACGAAGAGCAAAGCTTGCTTCATAATGGTCATCCATTTATAGATGGGCATATTGATGAATTTTATGATGAGCCATATTCTCTGAGCAACAATATTGAAATCTTGGATCTCTGGAATGTCCCTACGGACGGATTAGTATGCCAAAGTATCTTTCATATATAGACATTTGATGGCCTTACTAGTACCTAATTACCATGTTGTTGACATAGAAGGGATAGGAGGTGGGTGTACTGTAAAAACTGTACTTGTGTGACTAGAGATTGTGAGTGTGTATGGTACAAACTATATCGTGCTGCTTATAACCATCAGGTTGCGAAAGATTAGATAATTCAGTATATGCTTTGTGTTGGTTCCAGTGTGAGTGAAGGAAAACCATTGTGTAGCCTTACTATGCACTGCAAGCACAGGAGGAAGTTATATCAGTCAAATGACTGGTTGTATTACCTTGTGTTTTCTGGCTAATGAGTTGATGATCCAAGACTCATCCAATTTTAGATGCACCCCCTCCATCTAAACTGCCTGCCAACCCAAAAGTACTAGACAGGACATAGCCTCCACTTTCCACTCTTGCTGAAAATTTTCACCGATCTCGTAAGCAAAATGCCAAACCGTGACGATTCTTCTGACAGTGTTCAATCTTATGCACCTCCATCATTGCATTTGAAGCTTTATCATATGCAAATCGAAATGTGTCGAAGCATTTTTTTTTATTACACTTCACTTATGGTTGAGGATGAATTCTGCATCTCAGCTGTGCACACCAATTGCTGATCAAATTGTACCTAAGCAATTGTCTACACCCTGAACAAGCTGAAGCGCTACCACTTCTCCCACGGCACACCCTCGTTCACCACCGTCTTTCTTCTTTGTAAACACTGTATACGCACTACCACCACCGCGCCATTGCCACATACTCACATGCCATCATCACCATGTTCTTCATTATCCGCAACCCCCGTTGATCATGAATAAAAGAAACAAATTGCTGCCACCATAGGATTTTCCTTTTTCGCAGCCACTCCCATTGTTTTGAGTGCCATCATCGTCTGCCACAGTCCACCAGCCATGGCGCCGCCACCACTGACCATCGCTTGGAACCATTAAGAATCCATAGCCACCACCGACCATTATGCCAAAGGCAGTGAACCTTCTCCATGACCTGAAACTAATCTTTGTTTCGCCTCAGACATCGGTGAAAGTGTTAGGCTTCACTGTGCACAACAAAAAGGAAGGAGGAAGAAGGGGAAAAAAAGAGGATAGAAGAAAATGGAAATGCAAAATTGTGAGCTGGACCACAAAAAGTGAGTAAATATTCAAGCCCAAACAAGATTTCTAAGCCCACCATCAGCGTAAAAGTGTTAGGGGTAAACACCGGTCCAATTCAACCTAAAAACCAAACCAAATCGGCCTGGACTGATCGATTTCCAAGGAAAACTAGTTCAGTTCCCAGTTTCGTGAACCTAGTGTTGGTTGCAATATAACAACACCCAAGATTTCCATAGCTAGAATCTAGAACACAGTAATAGAGTAAAATGAATTTGTGTACCTATTTGGAATCCATCGTTCTCAATGCGGAACAGCGACGATTCCCAACGCAAGTCTTTTCCTTTATTACCTTCTGTATCACTGGCTCAATGAGACTGCCTCTCACAGTTGGTGTTTGCCCCTTCTGTGAGACAATGTGTGCGTTAAGACTAGAGAAGGCACTTGAGTACTATTTATAGAGTTTTAAGCCACGCCCTCTCATCATCGGCGCCTTACTCGGCCCACACTAGCCAGTCTCATATTAGACTATTTAAGAAACCTTGTATCACACATTATTAGACCAAGCCCGTAAAACAGTTAATTACAATATCAATTAATGTAGCCCACATCATAAAAACTCGTACACCAAGAACTAGTGTAGGATGTTCCTGGTTCTAATGCCGGAATTGGTTTTACCTAGAAACCAGTTCCACTCATTTGGTTCCCAAGTTGAACTGAGACCGAACTAGTTTGGAACCGGTTCACCCGAGGTTATGGATGAATGTTGTAATCGAGTTCTAATTTGGAGACGGCTAGTGGATCCTTGGTAGACTTAGTTTGTTATAAAGCTTGAGAAGTGATTTAGTTTAGTGGCTCAAGAGCTCAGTCTTTGATCAAGCCATGTTGCTTGCTCTTTGTATTCTTCAGAATTAGATCAAGTAATCGTAGGTGGATCACCTAGTTCAAGCTTTGTTTAGTTAATTTTCCAACTTCAGGTGTTGCTGTGTCCTAGTGTTCGTAGTTCTCTTGCGGTTTAGTGATGTTGCTGCTAGGGGTGTCAATTCCCCAAACCAGCCTGAACCGAATCAATCTGAAAATTTCAGGTATTTTTGGGTTGGGTCTCATTCTGGTTCAGGTAATAAGAAAAAGTTTTGGCATCTTGACGGTTTGTTAAAGTTTGGTTCATATATCCGAACCGAACCGAAACACATCGAACACTAAAATGAAACCTCCTCTGCCACAATCCCACTCACCATCACATGATCTGAGAGAGAGATGGTGTGGAGTGCGATGATGTTCGGAGCTCTGCTGGGGCTGGGCATGCAGATCTACTTCGATGCCCTCTACAAACTCCCTTACATGCGCTGCATGTTAACTCCAATTGCTCTTTCCCCCACTTTTGTACCCTAATTTTTCACGATTTCAATCCTCAATCCCCTTGCGTTCTTGTTCATTTTGCTCCTATAAGCATTGGATTGAAGCTTTTGGTACTGGCAAGTGTTTGGTTCAAAAATCAGATCCGTGAAAACATGTTATTGGGATGGGTCTTCGAGTGGCGTTCGAGAACCAACTGGTGATACGGGACGCTCAGCTCCAAGAAGATCTCAACAAGATGCTTGAAAAGGCCAAGGCTGCCGGTAAATTGCTAGGATGGAAAGAAGAGGAAGAAGAAGAATGAAGGGGGAGAAGACGAAGAAGCAGCGGCGGCCCCCTCCCAAAAACAATACCCTGGAAAACCGAAAATTTGGACCTAACATAACCAAACTTATTAGGATTCAGTGCACAATAACAAAGAAATGGAGAGTAAAAGAAGAAAAAAAAAATTGAGATACAAGATTAGCCACGTCTAGTAAAAAATACCACTATAATTAGCACACGATACATCTCCGTTATATCTCTTAATTACAAAAGAAATAGAATGTATATAGGTAACAACATCTATTCATGGGTACAAGCCTAAACTACTAATAAAATACAAGCTCAACATGTAAAAGCCCTTAGATTTCGCCGGGGCGCTGCCCATTCCAACTCTCGTGGGGCGGCCCCCCATGCCCTTTGTGCCTTCATGTTGTTAGGGAGTATGGACTACACACAAACAAAACTATCATTTCGGTGTGGGTTCTGTACGGTTCAAACCTTGGTTTGGGTCACAAAATATATAAAGCATTCGTGTTTGGGTCGGTTCGGGAATCAAAACCAAACCGACCCGTTGACACCCCTACTTGCTTTTGCTCTGATGGACCACCTAGTTCAAATCTAGAACTTACGTATCCTGAAACCGATCACTTGTAATAAGTATGAGACTTATTTGGAAGGAAAATCCATGGGTGAAAAGCTAGTTTTGGTATCGAACGGTGGAAAAGGATTTCCAACTCAAGTTCGAGCAAACACCTGAAAAATATTACTATTTTTATGAAAAATGACTTCTCTGAAAATATTCTTTGAAGTATGATTGGTGGATCTGGTGTAGTTGGTGTTGTCTCCGATCCGTCTCATGCTGGATCGGCTTGAACCGAGAGAAGCTGCTTCCCATCACATTTGAACCTCGCCTTGCTCTTTTAGGCCCCGTTTGGTTCAGCATTTGGAATGCTCATTTGGGGCCTGATTGTTGTCAAAGTGCTGCGACAGTGAATCGGCCGCCATCTTCTTGTGGTTTGATAATGCAGAGTGTGGGTCGACCATGGTGCTGCCACCCTGGGTTCCGAAAGCGAAGACCTCGTTCTCAGGGTCCTTGATGGGGAGGTTGAGGTTGATCATGTGGACGATCGGGGTGAATGTGGGCCTGATGGAAAGGGTGGCATTACGGTTTTGCGGTGGCAATTGTGTTTGTGATAAGTGAGTGGACTGAGGAAGAGAGAGAGAGAGAGAGAGAGAGAGAGAGAGAGAGATATGAAGAGAAAGACGAAGAGAGAGACCTTTTTTACTAGGCTAAATGGGTCAAATATGAGTTATAAGCACACCCATCATGGCCTGCTTTTTTAGGCTTTCATTTTTTCTTAACCCACTTAGGCCTGTTTTATAATAAATGAGTTACCCATATAAAATTGGACCTTCTAAAACTAAGATACAAAATGGGTTCATTTTTGGCGGTTCTACTCGTCACATGAACCTTGATATCTAAGATATGCAGTAGAGATCAACCTCCTCAATAATGGGTCGCATCTTTTTTGCTAAAGATATCAAATACCATAAAAAGGATAACCTGAACACTAAAAAGATTGGGTGTGCACATGAACACGTGGAATTTGCATAATTGCCCTCATTAAACCAAAAATAAAGTTGGGAAAATTCCAATTAAGGACCCCAAGTGGGGTCAAATTCTCAAATAAGGACCCAAAGTGAATATTGTGTACCTCCGCCGGCCCCGGTTATGGCCGGCGGAGGAAGAGAAGAAAAAAAAAAAGAAAAGGAAAAGGAAAAGAAAAAAACAGAAAAAATAATAAAAAAATGAAAAAGAAATCTTGTTCGATGCTTAGGAGCAACTTTCTCACCGCCGGTGGTATTTTGGCCGGCGGGGACCCAGGTTTTTATTTGAGACTTTTTGAGCACTTCAGTCCTTTTTGGATCGACGGACTTCACCTTTATTCGACACAATATTCACTTTGGGTCCTTGTTGGATTGACCCCATGGGATCCTTAAGTGGAATTTTCCAATAAAGTTCGAGGATGATATAAGCATTATTACAAAGATCAAGCCCTATCATGTCATTTCCCTAAATTTTAGACGTCTCGTAGAAGTTATATTTTTTGAAAAATCAACAGCGTTTTAAAATCATAACGATGCGAATCTTTCTTTTCCCTTTAGCTGTCACCAATGCTAAGTGTACACATGTCATATGAAATACTAAAGTCTATTTGACTGGGAACCACTTGCAACTCCATATCGTCATCGCCATGTTGCATGAGATTCTAGAGTATTCTTCACAGTGAAACACTTCCAAGTTTCGAGTTCATATCATGATGTGGTTATTCATGACCGTAGCAGTTGATATGCAATGTATGTAGGTGGTGAGATGCTATGTGACTTGCAAAGTATTGACGTACCTGCTTATTCAAATAAATAAGTGAGCTATATTCAATCATTTAATATAAGTCTCTCTTTTTCTTTTTGTTACGACGAGTGACTAAATCCACTTTCGACCCATATACCAATTTTATGAATATTTTTTAAAATATTAATATCACTAGAAATCTCAAATTGGTATATTCGTGTCACATTTATGCAAAACTAATTTTCATTTCGTAAAAAATTCCAAACCAGTACACCCGAACAACATTTATCCCAAACTAATTTTTGTGCCACAAAAATTTCCAAATTGGTACATCCGTGCCACAATTATCCCAAACTAATTTTCATATTACGAAAAATCTCAAATCACCAAAATTAGGGATTTTAAGATTTTCTAATATAAGATTTTGGTGATTTAGAATTTTTTATTATGAAAATTAGTTTGGGATTAGTATGGCACGAGTGTACCAGTTTGCGACAGGTAGATGCAGCATTCGAGATTTTTTCGTGATATTACTCATTTTTCACAATCGTACCCAACAAAGTTAATACGGGTAATGGAGGAATTCCAAGCGTCCGACGTCAGCAAAAGCATAGTCTTGAGCTTGAAGAGGAATCCACTTCAATTTGAGATTATTATTCAGTGAACAGAACAATGCCTTCTGAAATAAGGGTTAAGAAAAGTGATTGCTTTTGCGCTATAAAGTCCACCCACTTGAATGGGTTCTGGAGTCACACTCTCAAGTCCCAAGCAAAGCAGAGCAAACAGTAAACTCCGTTTCCTCTGTTTTTTCCCCTGCCCTTGTAAGCTGTCTACGCTCATCTTCTCTTGTTCTATTGCAGGTTGAAGTAGATGGGAGCTGTGATCATCCCACAGAATTTGCCGGTCGGATACAGATTCCATCCAACTGACGAGGAATTCGTCGATTATTACTTGAAGAACCGAGTCCTAGGATATGTAGACCATCCCTGCGTTATTCCCGATGTCGACATCTGCAGGTGGGATCCTTGGGAGTTACCACAGAAGTTCCACGGTAACAACAGATACCTCTATCAAATTTGCTTGCTCCTTTGATATAATTTCTCTCCAGCCATGATTCTCGGAAACTTATTACCTTAAGTTTGTGGGTTTGTGGAGCATAATATGTATCATCAATCAGTGAAAAGTCGAGGGAATGACAGGTGAATCAATCATTCCCCCGGATGACAAAGTTCAACAGTGGTGGTTCTTCTGTCTGCAAACCCCCCAACAGGTTAAGAGATCGACTCCCTCGGGCTATTGGAAGAAGACTGGTCCTAATCGGAATGTCAAGGCCAGAGATATGAGCAGAGTAATCGGTAATAAGAAAACATTAGTGTTCCACATTGGTCGGGGCTCTGAGGGCATCAACACCAAGTGGGTCATCCACGAGTATCACTTACTCACCAATGACGTACTCATTCTATCCCTCACTTATTTGTTACAATCTTTTATATTCACAAGGTGCATGAATTCGATAACATGTCATATGAGAAGTATAGCTACAATAATCTGCAGAAACACTTGATTAAAAGTTTCCACGATTCCTAAAGAAGCAAAGAAACATTATTTTGCTCAGTTTCTACTACAGAAGATTGAAATCTTACACATATAAAGAGAATGATATTATTTTCCCAAATTTGTGAGCAGAATATTTTACTGTTGAAGAAAATATGATCGGATGGTATGAACTGGTCTTTTGACAGTTGAATAGGAATTATGTTTTGTGTTGCTTAAAGCATACACAAGATGAGAAGGCTGATAATTCAACCATAGAATTAGCGCGTGGAGCCATTAGCCTGGCAGATTTGGATTCGGATCTTCATCAACCTGATAATTCAACCATAGAATTAGCGGATGGAGCCATTAGCCTGGCAGATTTGGATTCGGATCTTCATCAACCTGATAATTCAACCATAGAATTAGCGCATGGATCCATTAGCCTGGCAGATTTGGAGTCGGATCTTCATCAACCTGATCACGAAGACTCATTTCCTGAGGTGCGAGGAAGAAAGTTCTGTTTATACAATTAAAATCTGTCTTAACAAGAGGCAAGATGTGTTGATGATTAATCTTTTTGCTTGCTAATACAGCCTTTGATCCAAGGAATGATGAATTCACTGATAGAGGGCCCATTTCATCCTGAGAACCGACTTCAAGTTCATCTTTAATCTCACAAACATGATTGTATTTCTGATTTTCAGTGCTATTTATCTGAATATGAGGTTATGATACAAGCGTCTAGTTTAACAGTGGTATCACTTGTAGCTTGTCTTCATTTGGATGGCTATGCCTTGTACTTCTTTGTCATCTGTAATGGAATGGAAACTCTTGCTAAAAGCTTTCACCGGTTCCGTTAGTGAAAAACCGAACTGAGAAGACTCTTCTGACAGTGTTCTCCATCCTGTACACCTCCGTCGTTGCATCTGAAGCTTTATCATTCGCAAGTCGAAATGTGCTGAAGCATTTTGTTTCTCATACTTCATTTATGGTCGAGGATGAATCTGCATCTGAGCTATGCACAGCAATTGCAGATCAAATTGTACTTCGCAATTATTAACCCACTGAACAAGCTGAAGCGCCACTACTTCTTCTCGTTGAATCTATGCTAGGATTGTTTTAGCCCTCACGATTGGCGATGTTAATAAACTGTCGCATCATTCAGTAAAGTTAGTAAGCGGAAATGGAATTTTGCAAGGTTGACGCATGTGCCAGGAAGAGAATTGGCAATTCTAACGCACGCGATTTAACAGGAAATTCTTGTCGAATGTACTGCTCATGGTCAATAAACTGCGGCAAGAGCTAGTAAATATTGGGACGAGCAGCAAGCTCCGATATCTCATCCCGGGATATTTCCCGAGAGGGGGCCGAAAGTCCAAGCCCCAATCTAGAGGAGTTATGGGGCAACTAGCTATATTAGATGTCTTCTACCTCTCATCACTTACACCTTAATATCAAAGATCTATACTTGAGATCAACCACCTCAATAATGGATCGCATCTTTTTGCTCAAGACGTCAAATACCAGAAGATGGAAAACCTGAACTCCAAAAAGATGGGTATGCATTCTTACATGTGGAATTTGTAAAATTACCATCATTAAACCAAAAATAAAGTTTGAGGATAATATTGAGCAATAATAGAAACATCAAGCCCAATCATATCATTTCCCCAAATTTTAGACCTTTCGCAGAAGTTATATCTTTTGGAGAATCAACTGCGCTTTAAATGCGAATCTTTTTTTGCCCTTTAGCTATCACCAATGCTCAGTGTACACATGTCATATGAAATGCTAAAGTCTACTTGGCTGGGACCCAATTGCAGCTCCATATCATCATCGGCATGTTGAATGAGATTCTAGAGTATTCTTTACAGTGAAACAGTTCCAAGTTTCAACTTCACATCATGATGTGGTTATTCATGACTGTAGGAGTTGATATGCAATGTATGTAGCTGGTGATATGCTATGTGACTAGCAAAGCTTTCACGTGCCTGCACATTCCAACAAATAAGTGAGCTATATTCAATCGTTTAATATAAGTCTGTTCCTCTTTCTTTTTGTTATGATGAGTGACTTAATCAACTTTGGACCCATAATCCAATTTTATGAATATTCTTTAAAGGCTTAATATCAGTAAAAATCTCAAATTAATTTACATGTACCACATTTACACAAAACTAATTTTCATGTCACAAAAAATTCAAAACTAGTGCGCCCATGCCACATTTATCCCAAACTTATTTTTGTGTCACAAAAAATCTTAAACCGGTACATCCGTGATATACTTATCCTCAACTAATTTTCATATTACAGAAAATCTCAAATCACGAAAATTACAAATTTTAGGTATTTTCCAATCTATGAAAATTAGTTAGAGGGACCCACCCATGGGTAGCTCAGTTGGTTAGGACGTACTTGGGATTGTGTGGTTAGACGCCTTGGCCCGGGTTCGATTCCCTAGGAGACTTGTGATTTAAGTGGGAGGCCATGGCGGTGGGTTCTTTGTCTTTGTCTCCCAGGAATAGTCGAGTGCGCAAACCGGCCCGGACACCTCGGTTACAAAAAAAAAAAAAAATTAGTTAGAGGGTAAGTGTGGCACGGGTGTAGCAGTTTGTGATTTCCTGCAACACAAAAATTATTTTGAGATATATGTGATATGAATGTACTAATTTGAGACTTTTTTGTGGTATTACCCATTTTTCCAGAATTGTACCCAACAAAGTTAATCCAGGTGATGGAGGAATCCCGGCCGTCTGTCGTCAGCAAAAGCGTGTCTTGAGCTTGAAGTGGGATCCACTGAACAGTACAATGCCTTCTGAGACAAGGGTGAAGAAAAGTGGTTGCTTTTGTGACTATAAAGTCGACCCACTTGAATGGACTTTGGAGTCACACTCTCAAGTCCCAAGCAAAGCAGAGCAAACAGTAAACTTCCTTTCCTCTGTTTTTTTCCCCTGCCCTTGTCAGTTGTCCACGTTCATCTTCTCTTGTTCTGTTGCAGGTTGAGGTTGCGACTCATAGGCATCATCAAATCGAATGGAGACATGGCCGGTGGGACTCAGATTCCGACCGACCGAAGACGAACTCGTCGATCATCATCTTAGAGGGAAGCTCAAGGGAAAACTAGAACCATGTTGCCTCATCCCAGAGCTATACATCTACGAGTGTGAGCCGCCAGATTTGTTCAATTCATACAATAGTAAGAGCATAGCGTGGTGCTAGTCCTTTGAGGCTTCTCTATTTTTCTATTTTCCCATGTTTTTATGCTATTTGCTTGTTGCCTAAGAGATTGTACTCGATGAATTCATTTAACTGTTCTGTGTTTGTAGAAAAATCGGCAATACCATCAGATGGACGGGAGTGCTTCTTCTTCTGTCCTTGCGGGGACAATATTCCGAATAATCGTCGTTCTAATAATAGGATGACAGAATTTGGATATTGGAAAGATACCTGTAAGAAACGCGTCATCCGATCCCTGGACACTGGCAAGCAGATAGGGATCAGGAAGATTTTGGTTTACTATGAAGGTCGACAACCAAAAGGCCGCAAGACCGATGTGGTCATGCACGAATATCTCCTAAACTCAAGTGTCTCTGACAGTAAAATCTCCGGCCCGGTACTCGATTTTTCCTCTTCTAATCCCTCTAACTGAGCATCGTTAAGGTGTTTACCAGTGCAGGTATGGTTGAATATGGTTTAGAATATCAAGAATAGCTTAACTTTAATCGGCGATCTGCCATCCATCCTACGCATAGAATATTTCATTTGTATATGGTTATGATGGTCTCTGTTTGTAGAACTCGGATCCTCATCCTTTCATCTTTGCAGATGGCCTTTGTTCTGTGTCACATAATCGACAGGAAATGTAAGAAAGCGAGGTCACCGAAAGTGAGTACTTCGGTCAGTTCAAGCGCCGCTAGTACTCCTCATGACTCCGGAAATGGACGAGCCCACGAAATTAGTGCACAGGTAACCAAAAATTGCTCTGGGTTGTTGACATAAAGCAATATGATCTACCAATATGTCTAGCTAAACTAAAGCTTTTAAATGTTCTTTCCCCTCCTCTTTTCTCCCTCCAGGCATATGAGGAAATTATGATCGAAACAGAAAATCAGAATGAGATATCGATTTCCAGTATGCCAGACGGTAATGTGCCTGTTATTCCTCAGCAGGCCCAGATGTACGAAGAGCAAAGCCTGCTTTTTAATGGTATTCCGTTTGTAGATGGGCATAGTGATGAATGGTATGATCTTGGATCTGCAAGCGACGGTATTGAGATCTTGGATCTCTGGGATTGCGGACAAACTAGTATGCCAAACGATCTTTCATTTATAAATATTTGATGGACTTACTTGTACCTAGTTACTATGTTGTTGAAATAGGACGGATGGGAGGTGGGTGTACTGTAAAATCTGCAGTTGTGTGACTAGAGATTGTGAGTGTGTATGGTACAATCTATACAGTGCTGCTTATAACCATTAGGTTGTGAATGTTTAGATATTTCAGTATATGCTTTGTGTTGGTTGCAGTTTGAGTGAAGGAAAACCGTTGTGTTGCCCCACTATGCACTGCAAGCAGAGGAGGAATTAATATCAGTCAAATGACTGGTTGTTTTACCTTGTGTTTTCTGGCTAATGAGTGGATGATCCAAGACTCATCCAATTTTAAATGCAACCCTTCCATCTAAACTGCCTGCCAACCCAAAAGTACTAGACAGGACATAGCCTCCAATTTCCACTCTCGCTGAAAATTTTCCCAGATCTCATAAGTGAAATGCCGAACCCCGACGATTCTTCTGACAGTGTTCTCAATCCTGTGCACCTCCATCGTTGCATTTGAAGATTTATCATATGCAAATCAAAACGTGTCGAAGTGTTTTTTTTGTTGCACTTCACTTATGGTTGAGGATGAATTCTG